TAAAGTATGAAAATTAACAAAGGGCAATAACTCAAAAATTAGGAAGTGCAGAGTACTGGTTCTTGTGCACTGCATTTCTTCTTAATGAGATCTATCATCCTATGAAGTTTCAAGTCCATAGCTTTTTTAGTTGAAGAGAAATGGCCCGGACAAAATTAAAGTATAAAAATAAACAAAGGGCAATAACTCCAAAAATAAGAACTGCAGAGTACCGGTCCTTGTGCACTGCACTTCAGGTTATTGAAAGAAGCATGCATACCAAGTTTGAAGTCAATCAGACTTATAGTGACTGAGTTATGCTCCGGACAAGCTTTAGGGGACGCCGACAACGACACAGACGCCGCCGCCGCCGCCACCGCCGACAAAAGTAACCCCTATATGTCACCTTTTCAAGGCGACACAACAAAAACCATGTGACACAGTATGTAAATTCAAGCAATTGAATTGATTATGAATGAATATTATATACATGCAAATTAAGTTGGTAATTTCATTTTATAGATTAGAAAAAAGAAGAAAGAACAGGTGAGACTGACATTCAACAAATCAATAAGAAATATACTGGATATTAACACAAATCAGGCTCAAATAAAGTAAATCAACCTTACTGGATTCTCATCTTAATGAACTAGACTGCATGGAGCTAATAAATGAAAAGACAATGGGTGAACCTATATCCCCCTACATCAATCTCCATTAACATCCTATGACAGCTCCCGGATACTTGATTATCTCCACCTGGATCAATAATGTGACAATATTCAGAAATAACAAAGTCAAAGTTTAACCACATTATTATGACCTCTGGCTAAAGAGGGTAGCAGGAAGAAAGGATAAAAAATAGTACTTGCTCATGAATATTCTTTTACGCGTAAGCGAAGTTTCGAAAATTGTCAAGGTATATCCGAGAATCAATATGGCTGTGCCTACAGGCCTCAGCATCGATTCAACTCCTGAGTTTGATGAAAGTCTAGAAGACTAGATAATGTTCAACGTATTATCTAGAGGCGACTACAAATTTGAAATTTGTTAGCCTTCCATGGACTAAAAACTTCGGTAAAAACAATGGTTTGCATTATTTATCTTTGTTAAGTTTTACCTGATTAACTACGGCCGAAAACATAGAATAAAAACTTTTTAATAAATTTGTTTATTTTGTTCAATCTAGTTGAGTCTAAAAGTTAACAACCAAATAAACACCTAGCAGCTTCACTACTATTAAAACAGGATTTGAAAAGGACACAACAAAATGTTGATAGTTTAAGAAACAAAAACCATGTGACACAGTATGTAAATTCAAGCAAATGAATTAATTATTAAATAATATATGCATGTATTTAATGTTATAGATTAAAAAGAATTTTACATTACCTCAACATAAGGATTTTTTATCTCTTTCACATAACAGAGAAAATCATCCATTAGATGCATACAGTGATTATATCAGGAGGGTGTTGCTGTGTTCAGGAGTTTCAAGACCTATTACTGACATCATCTTGGCATCATGGAGCAGCGGCACAAGATAAGGATACATGTGGCAACATTGGCCACTTTGGCATCATACAAGGAATACAAATTTATTCAAGACCTCTGAGGTTGTAGTTTTAGATTATTTTTTTTATCTGTATAAAATTGGCAAGTCATTCTCTGTGTTAAATGCTCAAGCTATGCAGACACAAAACTACCATTTTTTTTGGTAAAAAATGGTGCAAAGAAATTTCCTCTTATAATTCAATTCATGAAGGATATATTTTTCTGTAAACTTCCAATTTCTAAATGTAAAGTTATTTGGGATGTTACTTTTGTCTTTGTTATATCCATTGTAAAAGATGTCTCAGTTATGACTGCACAAAAATGTGTTTGTATCTTATACATCTCTTAAGAATTATTGCTAGTATCTTAAGTTTATCCACAGTTACAGAAAAAAGTTGGGGGTGATTGGTCTTAGAAACTGCTTATTAGACAATCCACAAAACCAATCACATATTTTTCATTGAGGCAAGAGAATTATTCTTTATCAGTGACGTTCCTCACCTGATTAAAACTACTTGTAATTGCTTTTCAAATTCGTATTCCCATTGTAAAAGCAGAAAAATGTGGAAAGACAATCAGGACATATCATGGATGCACACAGTAAGTTTGTATAAGGACCATGGTTGTGACCTTTATAGATTCTGTCCAAAGCTGACACAAGAACACATTAATAGACTCATTTGGGGCAAAGAAAGTGAAACTGGCTACTTGGGTATTATTGTCAACAGTTGCACATGCATTGGATCTTAAATCTACGACAGAAAAAGTAAAATTCATAAGACATCTAAATAAATTATGAATTCAAGGCATCTTGGTGAGTACAGAGAAGTCAACCATAGTCAGCTTATCTATCTGATACAGGAGTTTTAAGGATACTTTGCTGAGTGGAAAAGAAGTGTTGAAAATGGGCAAGTTAATGGTATGATGTTTAGATACTAGACATTAGATGGACTATATATTACAGTTAATTCTGTTATAGTGCAAAAAAGTATTGCTTAAAGGCAAGGTAAGGATTTTGTTCTTACTGAAAAATTCAATCAAAATCCAATCCAGCAACACTTTGGGAGTCTTTATAATAAGCTTGGGCAGCAATACATACGGTTATATGACTTTAATAATGCCATGGTTAAAATCCATACAGCAGGCAGCCAAGCAATTTTGAGGAAACACAAAACGTAGAATTGAACTTTCTTCATCGAAGAAAAAGTGTTTTTTTTTAAAAAGGGACCTAACTCCAAAATTATAGCAATCAGAATAATACCCCTTGTCTAAACTAAATGTTTGTGGTGGTATAATAATTTTGTTGTACATAGAGAATGTATTTCTGTATAATTCAATTTTTAATTTATAATGCAATGATGTCAATGAAATGTCAGATGAGGAAAGAAGATGTCAATGAAATGTCAGATGAGGAAAGAAAAGAACTATGCCTTAAACTAGTGAGGGAGTATCCATATATAATACTGGAAGTCGTTTAACAGAGCTACACAACATTCAGGAGGATATCAACCAGACCCTGACTAACTTTCTCCAAATAGGTGTCAGTCTGCTAATATCACAGGGAAATGCCTACATGAGAGACAGTGCTGTGGAAAGGAAACCTGACACTCCTTTGCAGATATTCTCATGTTTGACTCTTTCACACATTCTTTCCACATGGGGGGAGTCTGGGAACGCATGATAGGTATAGCCCGCAGGATATTGGATGGACTACTATTGAAAGCAAATATGAAGGACCTAACCCATGAGGTTTTAGTGACCTTCATGGCAGAAGTTATGGCGGTGATGAACTCGAGACCTGTTCACATAATTCTGCAAAGTGCCTACATGTACATATATTATTATATCCAGAATAAAGGCACTTTAAATTTAAGAGTGAGCGATCATGTTCGGTATTTAATCCATTTAACAAAAATAATTCTAAAGTCTTTATCAGGAATAATTAAATAAATCTTAATTCTATTACGATCATACAGAAGAGAAACATTCTGTGGCCACTCTTAAAGGATACTATTAGCTTTTGCTTGGTCATCTGATAAAATTATAATTATATTCATCACAATCAATCTAGATGGTTCAGTGCAGTAGAATTCAATATCCACTTAGAATGAGATCAATGAAATGTCAGATGAAGAGAGAAAAGAACTTTGCCAGAAACTTGTTAGGGAGTATCCATATATAATACTGGAAGTCCTTTAACCAGCTACACGACATTCAGTGCAATGTACATTCTTACAGTTTTGTTTAAATTTCAATAAATTTTGTTCAAGTCCAATGTTTGAGTATTTTGCTACAGCTTATTAATAAGGAATAGAGAAATTGTGTCTAATACTAAGGAAATTGCAGCCATGGTGATGTAAATGTACAATGTCATCGTAAGTAATTTATGATAGCATCATTCTAGATATACAAGATATACAAGATATACAAGATAAATTTGCTGAAGCATTTAGAAGTGGAGACACATGTCTATATTTTTATAAAATACACTAGAATTGTTCAAATTGTTCAAAAACAGTAATCTATTAAATACAGAGCTCGGGACTTAATTGATAGTCTTGAATGATTATTAATTACTTTCATTTATCTGCTCTGAGGGCAGCATTATGAAAATGCACATCATGTTTGCTAGTTGTAGAGATAAAAGTTGAAGCAGATAAAAAAATCAGTAACTTATACTAAAATAATAGGACAATAGGGCTAAAATCATACACTTATTACTAATACAATAGGACTAAAAAAATCACAAACTTATACTAACAGAACTAAAAATTCATAAACTTAAACTAAAACAACAGAACAATCTGAACAGAAAGAACATGCACTTATAATATCACATGTATGAAAATTATACTGTGTACCACTGTTTATGGATGTTTAAGAATATATAAATCCTCATATACATCACTGACTAAAATTCATTCATTTTAAATTGAACTGAGTTGTGAAATTCAACTCTCTTTTTTGTTGTTTATATTCATGCTTGTGGTTTCAGTCAGTATTATTTTCATATATATGACCTAGTTGCATAAACATTTACACATACAAATGGGGAACTTTAACCCTTAACCTGCTGAAATTCTCAAATGGACTTGTCCAACTTCCATTGTTGGAAATGTCCATTTTCAATTTTAGGGGATATCAAAATAATAATTTTCATTTGATCAGTCAACAGTATAAGGGCCTGGTCAGACTGTACTGAAGGTCTGGCTCTATACTAGTGGCAAATACTGACCACCTTCAGTTCCAGCAATGTAAAGGTTAAATCATAATATTCATATAAATTAAATACATCCAACTTAACTCTATGTCGCTTTCAGTCCTGGTGAGCTAACATTTATATAAATTTTAACATTTGAGTAAATCTTTTCTTTTTTTCTTGTGACCACATCAGTGTTAGGGCAACTCAAAACATTCTCTTAAATTGTATACATGAATATTTGGATTTTATAAAATATAACATGGTCTTTCTATGATAAGCTTAAAAAATTTAAACTAAAGATGGATAACATTTCAACAGTAAATCAACATGTTTTCTATATCTAAATTACTTACCCCGTCCATATCAATGTTTTTGTTTAGGACAAAAATGTAAATATCTTACACAAACAGTCTGGCATGTTCATTCTCCCTGGAAGTTTATGTTTTATCTAATCACTGTTTCACTTTTGAACTGCCTACTTATTTGCATTGCTTTCCAATTGGTGTTTGTTAAATGTCCACACATTTTTTAAATCAATTGGTCTATTGTTCTCTTATTGTCACGCAGCTGTCTAGTTGAATGTTTCACACAAACTTAACAATATATCCATAGTTTCTAGTTGTATCACAGGAACCAACGCTACAGGTCTATTCCTAAATCTCCTCTGCATACCTGAATCAAAACATTTAAAATTTTCATTTCCAAGACATTCATTAAAGCTGAAATTGTGATATAACAACCTATTTGTTCCACATTGCTAAGATTTTGTTTAAAATTTCATGTTTAAACTATCAAAATGAAGATAATAAATAAAGGCAGACCAAAAGTACTTGTTTGTGAATTCTAAAATCTTGCCAGTTCAGACAGCTTCTGAAGTTTTCAATCCTAATCTCTGAGAGAATTTGAACACAAACCTAACATAAATCGTGACAGGTGAGCTAAAAAACCACACCAACCTTGTTAAGGTCACATGGCAACTTCCCTTCATTACTTTTTCAGACACAAACAGGCACTTAAGTAGACCTACTAACCTTCTATAGGATTACTAGACAGCTTTCTGACAAGTGAGAAATAATTTGATTCATTACAAGATCAAATTTTTGCTCTGTGTTAATGATTTCACAATGCCAAATTTACCACCCAGACCTTTTGCCTTCAAAGTTACCAAAGAGCACTTCTATTCATCAAATGGCAATCACTAGTTGATCATTTAAAACAATCATGTTCTTTTTTTTATTTAATAGGAAATCATATTTGCAAATCTAAAAGAACATAAATTACTTTTTATAAATCAAAAATTGTCTAGCTCTATTTTTCGTCAGGTATTAATTAAACAATGGATATCAATAAAATTTACATTAACTTTACCTTCATATAAAGTATCATAGTTGAAGACATTTGCTTGATAAAATATTCTCATCATAGATATCTGGCTTTCAGCATCACTGGTCTCTTTAGATATGTCTGTAAACATCCCTCTTGTTTCCTCTAAAACATCTATAACTGATTCAAGATTAATGTCAGCAATATCGTTACCTTCTATTTTATCTGAAACAAGATATATATCAGTATTAATCATTTCTGAATCTTTAAGAAAATAATAGATGTATGGTTCTTGCATAGAAGTTAATTCTTCAAAAGAAAATCAAATTAATATCATTTCATAAAAAATTATGCAAGAGATGTCTTCTCATTAAAGTACAACTTCCCTAAAAACAGGCCAAACTTCGACCAAACAAGATTGCATTTGAGAAAAATGCTATGCCACCGCATTAATACAACACTAAATAGTAGTGTAGGAACAGATTTTTTTTGCTTTCTATACAATTTTGAAGATTGTCATAATGCATAGATCCCTGACCTATCTGATTCCTATTATCAGATTAGTGGTTAAATCTGTTGTTAACTCAATAAAAGATCAGAGTAGGAATATATCAATGCACTCGAGTCTAGTGAATTTGGTGGTGAAGGTCATATTTCACACAGCCTAAATTTCATGACTACATCAAAGGACAACACAGTAAGACACTTTGTCAGAATCTAGGTCAGTTGAAATCAAAATTCACTTTACATCTTAATCCGTGCACATGGTTCAAATTTCATAGCTGTACATCAAAGGACAAGAAAGTAGGTCACATCATCAAAATCTAGGTCACCTGATATCAAAGTTCAATTTTACAACTAAAACTGTGCACATGGTCAAAATTTCATTGCTGTACATCAAAGGATAAGAAAGTAAGTCACTGTCCCCCTGGGCAAGGCAAAATTTTGGACCAAAGGGTTTAATTCAAAACAATCTTGATACAGGTCAACCAACCAATTAAAATTTGAACAATCTTGGTAAAGGTTCCATATAAGGAAAACCTATAGCCCCCAGGGCGGGGCTAATTTTGACACTAGAGGCAAAATTTGAACAACTTTGTTAGAGTACCTATAGATGAAATAATTTAACAAATATTAAAGCTCTAAGCCTTGTACCTTCAGACAATAAGATTTTTTTGATTTTTTACTATATGTATATATTGAAAATCAATGAACCCCGGGATGGGGGCAATTTTGACCCAAGGGCTATAATTTGAACAATCTTGCTAGAAGTTCACTTCACAATGTTTCATGCAAAATATCTAACCTCTAGCATTTGTCAGTTGCTAGAAGAAATTTTTTTAAAGTTTTTACTATAAGTTTTTACTATATACATATAAGGAAAACCAATGACCCTCGGGGCGAGGTCGATTTTGACCCAAGGGCTATAATTTGAATAATCTGGGTAGAAGTCTACCAGACAATGCCTTGTGCAAAATATCTAAGCTTTTGGGTCTTTACAAGAAGGTATTTTAAGTTTTTACTATATGTACATATAGTGAAAATCAATGACCCCCGGGGCGGGGCTGATTTTGGCCCCAGGGCTATTATTTGAACAATCTTGGTAAGGGTCTACCAGACAATGCCTTATGCAAAATATCTAAGCTCTAGGCCTTTTGGGTCTTTACAAGAAGGTATTTTAAGTTTTTACTAAATGCACATATAGTGAAAATCAATGACCCCCGGGGAGGGGCCGATTTTGATCCCAAGGCTATAATATGAACAATCTTGGTAGAGGTCTACCAGACAATGCCTTATGCAAAATATCTAAGCTCTAGGCCTTTTGGGTCTTTACAAGAAGATTTTTTAAATTTATTCTAATAATTCTTTTTGGTTGCCATGGCAACCAGATTTCAGCATGGAATGAAATTCTTTTAACAACTTTGGAAGCCCTTCACCCAAGGATCAATCCTGCCAAGTTTGGTTGAAATTGGACTGGTGGTTTTTCACAAGAAGATTTTTTAAGTTCACTATATAATCTATATAACACACACACACACACACACACACACACAAACAAACACACAGGTGAATCGCTATATGCCACCGCATCGCAGATGCTGCGGTGGCATAAAAAGAACAGTTTAGGCATTAGCAAATAAAGCTCGTATTCTTTGTCCTGTCCTATAATGAGTAGAGTATATCAAAGCTTAACAACTACTTTCTAGCATTATCTATCAAAGAGGGCTCGCAGTTGTTAGTGTATTATGATACTGAAAATCCCTAAAACTACCAATAAGTGTTCCACATTCAAAGTATGGCATTGCTTTCCAACATATTCAACAGGTTATAATTTAATAAAAGCAGCATCATCTTGTTTAAATGCATAACAATTTAACAATGACTTACATAAAGAAATAACCAGAGACAGAGGTATAGCTTCAGAGGATTTGATCATCCTTGCCTTTGATGTGTACATAGATCTTTTACAGTTTGTATTCCTTTCAACTGAAAATAAGTTTTGCAAAATATCTTCAATACCTTAATGTTAACTTTTTCAAAGGAATTAAATGGTGGTGTTCAAATAAATTATAATGATTGTCAGTAATAATATAGTCAAACTTGTGTTCAGGGACCGCACAAGGGAAACACCAAAGGTCAACAAGGACAAATTCTGTCAGACAAATCTTGACATAGATTACATGCTAATTAATGTAAAAAAACTTGCTAATTAATGTCAAAAAACTTTACTTAATTCAAAAAGTTTTTGATTAACTTATTTCATTAATCTTTTACATAATTATATCTATTATATTAATCTAGAAGAGCAACTACTTATAAGTATAAGAATAAAAGCAAACAATTGACATAAAAGAAAACTGTATACCTTGTAATGGTTTAGGTACATCAGTTTTAGCAACAGCTTGCCATTCTATAAGAGCTCCTTTTGGTAATTGTGGAATTACTACATAAACAGGCATACAAGATGGGTCCTGAAATGTTTTTCACATTTTTTTCTCATTCCACAGCTCATTTTTATTAACATTCTTGATAAAATTGTACTGCTTTCAAACAAAGAAAATACATTTTTCTATTTATTTTTTTTAACATGTGGCAACTTTCTAGCTTTACTGCTTAATGAAGACCTCAGGTACCCCCCCCTCCTGCACAAATGGGCTACCAAGTAGAACCACTGATGTTCTGAAAGCTAGCTAGATAGCTTTCTCACAGTGAGAGACAAGATGTTTGAGGTCAATGACCTTCAGCACTTGCCCCTAAAATACATTCTGTTTTAATTTTATTATCCCCCTTGAAATAAAGACTAAAATAAAGACATCTTACCAACATTAAACTAGATTAATTTTGAGTGAAACTGCAGATAGAAACTACAGATGAAAAAATTTTGATTTACAAATTAAGAATACCTTTATCGTGCAGTCCAATTCCTGTGTGGCTATAGGAATATAGTCTGGATGAGTTACATAACATACACATGTAATTATATCATATATTGAGCGACTAGAACACATGGCTGAGAGAACACTGTTCACATGTTGAAGACTTAGTCTAGTCTGAGAGTGTATACCACCATCTATCAGGGCAAGATTAGCTGGTACCATTCCTATCTGACCAGCTACATAGCATACATTGCCTACCTGAAATTCCAAGTTTATATCTTATATAATATTTAAACACAGTTCACAAGGTTCCACTGGTAAACATATGTGGCAGTCAAGTGCATCATTACACCAATATATGCACAGCATACAAAAAAGGAATGCTTTCATGACATATGACATCAGATGTATCATTGATAAACTAAATGACATGAAATATAACTTACCTCAATTTAGTTCAACATGACTGTATCAATTCTCCTTCTATTAGCATATTAAAATTGAAACATATATCAATTTTTCTTGTGTTGTAGTACAATTATTAATTGTTCATTAATCAAATACAGTCGAACTTGCCCATGCGACCACGTGTATTAAGCGACTTTTGTCTTAAACGACCACTTTAAATATCCCCCGATCATTTCCTCTCTATATCTTTAATGTATTAAGCGACTTTTGCTCAACGCGACCAGCGACCGCTAATGAGTCACCCAATTGAGATCAATCTTTTCATTAAACGACCACTTTTTCCTATCAAGTATTTGAGTTTTTAGAAAATGCCACTGCGTAATGTCACAAGTGTCAACGATCAAAACACAACAAATAAACATGTGAAAAACTCTATTTCCCAAACCATTTTAGCGTATGCAAATGAAGTTAAGTATACCCGTGACGTGTATTATCTAATAATATCGGATAAACAATGCAACGCTCCGCCCCTACTGAGATGGTGTATACCATTTGACTGCATTGAACTGACCTTGAACTTGATCAGCAATTAAATTAATAGTAACAGAAAACATCTTAACTAATAGGGTTTTCGTGTTGGAGACAAGGAAAAACAACGGAGGAGTTAAAAAACTTTGGAAAAAATGTCAAACATGTACGTAATTTGTCAATAAATATCAGAAAGTTATTTGTTACATTTGCATCCATTTAGATTATCGGAGCGTACTAATTATTCAACATTTATATAAAAATGAAGTTGAAAAACATTCCCTATTTATAAGAAAGATGTCATTTATAAATTTTGACTTTTATATCATGCTGACTGTCTTAAGAGACCGTTTCATTAAGCGACCGTTTTTGGTGTTTCCCTTGCGTGGTCGCCTAATACACGTTTGACTGTACTGTAATTATTTACTCAAGTAAACTGGCCTCCTTGACTATATTACAGCGCATTTGAACTCAATCTATGCATTATTCTACAACATTCACAAAATAGATATCCTTTTCCATTAAAAGTTTACATTGCACCAACACAAAAGAGATCATGTGACTAATTTCCAGCTTGACCTAGGGGGCCCCTCTGTGCATTATTTCAGGCACCAAGGGCACCTGCGTAGAACCACCGACATTCTATGAGCTAACTGGATTGTTTTCTCACATAAAAGAATCTATATTCCCCAGTGGGTTTAAGACCAAATGCAGTGAGGAACAAGTGATTGGAAGTGAACGACCATAACCACTCAGCCACTGACGCCCCCTTACTTTAATGAGAATATAATGAAAGTACACTATAAATACCTTGGTACACTGACTGTAAGGTCCTATATTCGCAGGTGCCCAGTGTGACAATCCTTGAACATGCATAGTTTCCCTGTTACTATGACAACTGTTTCCATAGCAATCTAACATCATAGCAACGTTGTCAGGTAGTTGTGCCTCAACACAAACTCTTATGAAATTAAAACAATATCAATCATCAGATCAAGTATATCATAAAACTATCGGAACTTTTCCACCAATTCATTTTATCTAATCTTTACCATTTTCCATTAATTTACCAAAGAAATAATTTTTTTTTTTTTTTTACTTGGGTTTTACGTCACATCGACACAGTATAGGTCATTTGGCGACGTTCCAGCTTTACTGGTGGAGGAAGACCTCAGGTGCCCCTCCATCCATTTTTTCAGGCACAAACGGGCACCTGAGTAGAACCACTGACATTCCTTAAACAAGCTGGATAGCTTCCTCACATGAAAGAATCCAAAGTCCCTGTCGGGATTCGAACCCACAGCAGTGAGGGGCAAGTGGTTTAAAGTCAACGACCTTTCTACGTATTTCAGCTTCATATTTAAACATATTGTCTGAGACTACTAGGTAATAAAAGACTTAAATTTGTTTCTTAATAAAGAAGAATGCATTTGAAGTTCATTTGTTATGCCCAAAAATTTATTTAAGATAAAACAAAATATGCCAATGACTCTAAGATAAAGTAAAGATATTCTTAAAAGCCCAAAAATAAAGTACCTAGCTGCTGGATTCAATCCAAAGTACGTTTTATAAACAGCATTTATAGCAGCAAAGTCAGCCATATTTTTCACATAGAGGTGCATCAACACTAGATCTGACATATTTAGAGGTTTTATCAGTTCCTGAAGATTATCCATAGTCTGTCTGGCTAACTGTTCAACATCTTCATCTTTCTGTACAGCCATTAGATTGGTTACCCAGATATGACGCCAGTCTGAGTCGGCACTTTTCATTCTAGTAACTTCAGCTTTCTTTGAACCTAAGGCAAAGTGAGATAAAAATAGATATTGTAAACCAGAATAATTACATCTATCAATGTGTGCATTAATAATGTATACTGAAACAAAAAAGAAACTTTCTCCAAGTTTGAATGCAGATATGTTAGTACAGTTTTTCAATCCTTTTGAAACTCGATTTTTACGTTGAATAAACATATCGGGCTTTTATATGGGGATTAGCTGACCGATTTTGCAAACAAAACGAGTTTTACAAGCTACTACATGTACATTAGTGTGTACATCTAAGTGGTACCCTTGAACAACTGGCACATACTTTGCGAAAGTTTCCTTTTTGGTTCAGTATATTTGATAATGAGCTTCACAACCAAAAACCACTTTTTTTTTTTAAAACCATGTCAAGTGCAAGCAGCAATATAAACAAATTTTAACCAACAGTATAGAACTTCATGCAGTTTGACCGTGCTCTTTACTTTTGATTGGTCAAATTTTGTATTCAGAATGATACAAATTCAAAGCATGGTAGGTAAATTACATAAATTTATCACTGACCAAGTGTAAAGCCCTTCAAAAGCCAATTTAACTATCATCACTTAGAATACAGTTGCTTTTTATATTTTATATCTGCTTGATAACTGCTTAAATTTATGCAAATAAATCAAAACTTCTAAGCTTAATATAGAAATTACCTGTTACTGTGTCTTTAGATTTTTGGCGTTGTAATTTTTCACACTGAACACACCTTAATTCTGATCTGTTTGGAAATAATTCATCTAAAAGAGATCTGCTATGTTTAATTGGAAGGCCTTTTATCAAGTCCAGTTGAGATTGACTTGGATCCTGCAAGTGATGTAAATCATATTACATGTACATACTGTATTTACTCTGCAAATACTGTGTAATTTGAATGAAGTTGGCATCATACTCTTAAATGATTCGGAAACTAGTCTCATTAACAAATATAGCAGTATAATTATTTTACAACTAGCTGTCAAAGTCATAGTTTTATGGTGTACACTGGAAATAATATTTTCTACTTAAATCAATGAAGAAAAGAGGATTTTGCCCCTGCCCAGTGCCCAGAGAACACAATTATTTAACATATAAAACAAAAATGTTTTTCGAAGAAGTAAACTATACCATTTTTTTGTCTTCAAGGTGAGCTTTTTTCAGATTGAGGTAGCCAACAGGAGCAAATGCATCATCTGAATGTATAACCATTTCCATCTCATCTCTGTAAACAAAACATATTGTACCGTTATTATATTCATGAAAACAAATCTCTATGGTAACTCAAAAACTAATAATATGGAAAAAATTTCAACAACTTGTCTCACTTAAAATAAGTAGTCTAGATCACTCCAAACCGTCTAAATGCATGTTATGAGTGATGATGATAAATTACATGTACCTATACCAAAACAAAGTCTACAATGTACTGCTTTCAGCTTAAATGTAGTAATTTACAATAAAATCTCTTATTACAGTGTATTTTTCACTTTTAGAGGAATGAAGGCGGGGCCCCTGGAGAGAGGATAATTACGTCAAAGAGGAGATAAAAGGAATTCAGAAACAGAAAAGACAGTCCATTTTATGACAAAATTGAGATACAATATCATTATTTTTTAAACTGCAATGGCTTTCTCTCATTATAATTATAAGATAGTTAGTTTTTTACTCCTGGATGGGATTTTTTTCAGACAACGGGGGAAATATACTTTTTGGGGAGGGGGCAGACCTTTGGTTTAAAATTGGTCTGAGAAAAATCACTTCAAGTTAAAACATACATTGGTCAGTTTAAAATCCAAAATCTGGTCCAGTCCATTCCATGAACTACAGAGAGATAAAGGTTGACAAGATAAAGAGAAAAGCTTTGTTTCTTACAAACATAAAAGGATTTGTTTGATAAGTTTGATTTTATAATAAATATTGGTAGTTTAATATTACTCAGCAAATATTTATTATTCCCAATAATATAGCAAATTCTCTAAAGAAACACTTACATAACAATTTTCTTCTTAAATATTGGACAATCCAATGTAAAAGTTTCGTACTCCCCACCTTCTCCACAAACATTCAGCTCAAACTCTGCATTCTGAAAAAGAAAACATGAGAATCATTGGACATGTTTAGCCTATACAATAATAATTTTTCACATCTCTGACTGACACTTTGTGAATCAATTATTTATAAGTGGTTCATAATTACCTTTTTATGCAAATAATCCCTCATTTCTGACAAGGTTTTACCAAGATGATGTTTTGGCTGCAACCCTAAAATGAAATTACAAAAATAATAATAATACAGCATAAAACAAAACTTTAAAACATACCAAAACTTTTCATAAGCCATCTGGTTAGCTCAATAGGTAAAGTGTTGGACTGTAAATCAGGCGACACAGGTCTGATTCCTTTATGGCGCAGGTCACTTTTGTTGTGACTGATCATGAAATCCTTTCAACGGTCATTGGCATTGTACCTCTGCTGTGACATGTACAGAAGTTATCAGTTCCTTGCAAAAGTGAAGGCAACAAGAACTGGCAAACAACTTTTCCAAGAACGATGTGATTGCTTTACTGTGCTCTGGTAAATTGTGGCTCCCTGTCGAGATCCAGAGGGTAAACTACCAACATACAAAATTTTGCTTCTGTAACTGAAAATTTATCTAAAAACTGCAACCTAAGATTTGCTAAGACTTGCTACTGACACTGAATTTGCGAATTTAAACTTGAAATTTTAAGTTTAAAAACCCCCCCCCCCCACTCATTTTACTCGGTCCATCCTAATGTATTAGAAAAACTAAAAAAATCCCAATATATAATGTACAAGCAAATTCACAATAGTTGAAAAGAAATAAGATTAAATATAAGCACAAACCTTTGGAGCAACCTGATCGACAGGGGGAAAATTACTTTTAATTTCATTTCCCCAAATAATTCTGCTTGATATCCCCAAGATACGCTAAGGGAAACAAAACCAAGACCTGAATTGAAAAATATATTAAAATTTTTGGGAAAAAACACTTTTAAAATTTAAAATATATTTTTTCAAAAAGATGGCCTATGTCCACAGCTTTTTTAAAAATCTATCCTACCCATGAATAAAAATATGTAAAATTATTTGCAAATATAAAACCCCAATTTGGAATGTAATTTTTTCCAATTATTCTGAAAAAACAAAGGAAGTTTCAATAAAACAGTGATTTTAATAATTTTCGGTTCAATTTTTTATGCAAAAAAACTGCAAATTCATTATCCAAAGCTTTAATAACTGTATTGCTTTGTTGTAATTGTTTATCTGTACATAGGGTTTATAATTTTAATTTTTGTATTGTTTGTATCACATCCATTGTGAAATTACTGAAAGGCATTGAAAAAAATTCATACATTTTTCACCAAATCATTGATAATTTACAGGAGGGGTTCATTTCAATAAAAAAATCATTAAAACTTAACTTTTCACACGAACACGTTGAAATTTGAGTATTGCACCCAACGAAAACAGGGCTTCCAATAAATTTTTCTTCCTAAAAAAAAAAACACACTCGGGGCCCGTAAAGGGGTTAAATTTCCCTAAATTTCCTTTTCATAAAAATGCTTTTGAATTTTAAATTTCCCAAAATTTAAGTGTTGAAAATTTATTTTTTTTTGTTCAATGAACGGTCTTTTTTTTTTTTTTTTCTCTTTTTTTTTCAAAACTTAAAAATTTTCAAAAAAATTATAGAAAAGACATGACCAAAATTTGTCATTTTTAAAATAAACAACTTTTATCATGTTCTACTTTAAACCAAAATGAATTTTTCCAACTTCATTTTTTTTTTTTCTGAAAGAACATCAAAAAAAATGAATTTAAATTTTAATTTTAGCAAAATACCTTTAAATTTTTTAAAAGTTCAACAACTTCCAACCATTTTTTCCTTTTGGTAAAAATTCTTTTGTTGATTGGATGCACTTTACCCCGGTAAAGGGGTAAACCCTTGCCTCCGTTTACGGGCTATGCATGGGGGCCTCAATGATAATAAGCAATTCCTTCATCGTAAAAAAAATCGACATTACAAGGTCATAGTTGAAATAAAAGACAAGTTAAGTCATTATCAGAGACATTTGGCCAAAAGATAATGATTGTAATATGTACACATAACTGGGTCATCTGTCATCCAAGTTTTTAGTTTTTGCATCAACATGTACTGGATTAAATTCACAATGTATAAGATTATCAGTAAATGCAATGGATTATCAGACAATTTAGTGAAAACATTATCCAAGCCAAAAAACCTTTTTATGCCATAACTGTCACGAGTTACTGAAAATTCATCCTCCAGTTAATTTGGAAAATAAGCTGCATCTCAAAAGGGGAGACAATGCAAAATAATAAGTTTCTGGTTTGAAAGGCGTGTTTTAAGTTAAAGTCATAAGCAGATAACAAGAATACAGTCATAAATTTGTTCCCAGTGCCACCTCTAGTCAGATTACCAGCCCCAATCCCAATGGCAAATATGCTTATTTTTTCCAAATCTTTAAAAGAAAATATTCCTAATCAAACTGAAATATTATTCCAAAGGTGCCTGAAATGTTCCAACAGGAATCAAATATTTTTCTCATGCAATTTTATGATGCATGATTTTTCTAACTGGGTTCAGTACTTTTTCCAAATAAAAAGCATAAAAGAAATGTGCGTCGCCAGGATCCCCCCACATCAGAAAAAATTTTTAAAAAATTTTCCAGTTTTTCCCCGTCTGATTTTGAGGGTTTTTATGCCCCCCTTTTAGAAATTTGGGGGTTCATTTAAATTATAAGGTCATGAAAAAATTTTAACAAAAATGTAAAAAAAAAACGGTAACATTTTAAAAGTTTTTTTTACAATTTTGTATTTTTTTCGTGAAAAAATTGGGGCAATTTTTGTATTTTGGATTTTTTTTCTCCATAAAACGCGATTTTTTAAAATTATTTTGTGTTAAAATTTTTTCATAGAAAAAAAAGTCGTACTATATTGAAATTTTCGTTCATATCGCCTTCTATTTTCATAGTGCTTTCAAGTCCCCCTATGACGGAATTCAAGGGCCAAATAAAAACTTGGACAACCAAAATATGTTAGGTTCATTCCTTAGCTGTTTTACAGAATTAGAAACATTCCTGTCGCTACCCCCTTCGAAGTTTCTAATTTCAGTGAACAGCACAAGATCAACACAACATTATACCAGATACATATAACTTCATTTTCGAGCAGACAGTTTTTCTTCGCGCAAATAGTGCGACAACAAAATAATAATTTTTTGTCTGGGCGCTTTCAATATATGCAGGCAGTACGTATAAATCAAGCGGTTTTAACTAGTTAAGGTAAATTTGCCGGACCACGGGAACCCGGGTAAAATTTCATTTCTCATTAAAATTTAAATTGGAGCCCACGGTAAACTTCCATACATTTTATACTGAATTGACGGTTTAAGCTGTAACGACTTTTGTTTTGAATCAGCGGACGGTGAAATTCTTGCGTCACAAAATACGCACTAACTAAATTTCATTGCGTCATGGCTGAAAATAGTGCGCCAAAAACGCGCTCTGGCAGAAACACTGGATATCATAATATTTGGTTCCTAATTTGTTTGCACAACCTATTTTTTTTTATTCACTTCAACTATTCAATGTTAACACAAAACATTCTCACACAAAGTTCAAGGCCATTAAAGTATTAAGTGTTAACCTTTTGCAAATTGCATATTGCATATTTGTAGCCAAGATAATGACTGCATAAATTTCCACAAAAGTAAATGTGTGGGAACTGAAAATTTCAATTTTTTTCCAGGCATTCAACTTTCTCCAAAATCATTGAACCATGAACAAATTTAAACTTAGCCTGTTTATTCCAAAGATGTATCTTAATGTCAAATTTGAGTTGAAAATGTATAACTGTCGGAAAATATTGAACAGAAAATAAAAATTTCTTACTTTTTCAAAGTTCAAGAGGGATAACTCTATCAGAAATCATCAAACCATGACCAAATTCAGACTTTACCAGCATATTCCTTTGACATATCCATATATTAAATTTGAGTTGAATATGTACTTCTGTTTGGTAGATAATGAACGGAAACTAAAAATTTCCTCTTTTTTTTTCAAAGTTAAAGGGGCATAACTCAGCCAAAATCCATTGAACCATTCAACTTGACCTGCAAATTACTTTGATATATCCATATGTCAAATTTGAGTTGAATGTGTACTTGTTGGTGACATAACTCTGTCAAAAATCATCAAACCATGACCAAATTCAAACTTGACCTGCATTTTCTTATGATATAATAATGAACAGAAACTGATGATGATGATGGAAGGAAGGAATGACAGAATGACCGAACTGGGTAAGTCTATATGCCCCAGCCATTTTATGTTGGGGGCATAAAAATATACCTTTGTCTTTTGGCTTTAGATTGGCAAGTGCAACAATGCTGTGGCCTTCAGAAATACACTGTATCATGTTGTAGCAACTGTCCTTCCCTCCACTGAAAATATGAAGTACAATTTTATAAAAATATGGATTCATATAAAAAGTCCCTTATAAGATTGTGATACTTCATTATAAATATCTAGTTGATAGAATTTAGAAATGCAAACCTATCATAATGCAAGAATTGCCAAAGTCACTTAGGTGAGGAAAAACTATATATTTAAGGTAGAGCTGTCATTGATTCAGTAAAGTTTGCTGGTGAGACCTAACTAATGGCAAAGGGTGTGGCTCTAAAAAGATGCTGCTGCCTCCCAGAAGGTGCCTTTTAACTATTGTCTTCCTTTGTTCTGCAATGGAGAAAATCTCCACGACAGTAGACGGCTTAAGAAGACCTTCGTTGCGGCTCTATGCTCAGCAATGTTGAGAAGCGATTAAACTAGGTCCTCCATAGCAGCTCTACGACCAGTGACCATAGTCTGGGACATATGGCATAATCGTCCCCCAGTATAAATAAACTTATAACACAAACAATTGATTCTGTGTAAAGCATATTGATGATACATGAATATCGAATGACACATATCAGCCATACACCGATATAAATATCAATACATACTCTTTGTTTCTTGTATATAATTCACTTTCATACCTGTTGAATGATTTTAGTAAAATACATGTTCTGTGATTCATACGAATATGTTCTGTCCTGTTTATAAATGTCCTTTGCATGATTTTTTTCTAACCATTTTTGTCATCATTGCTATGAAATGTGTCCATTATGTAACAACAGCTTGGTGTTAGACATGGCCACCTGCTTTTGTATGTTTTGGGTGAATTTTCAAAATTTTTAGACAATTAAATAATCAAAATTATTGATTTTTTTTCAAATGCGTATCAATTAATGATCAATAGAAAAATATCAAAGATACATCGATATCGTCTCTATTGATGACAGCTCTAAATTAAGATATATATTTTCAAGTATTACAAACCACACATTATGTGTACTTGTCAAATCTTCATTTGATATCTTGTCCTAAATGTAGACTAGTTATCCTTCAAAAATAAAAAAGTAACAGCCACTTACAGCAAACATTAAGCAAAAAATTCAATAATTTAACTCTCAAAGTCAAGGTCATTTATAAGTTAAGGTCACCCTCAATTTTTTTAATTTGTTTTAGGTCTTGTCAAAATGTTTGCTGTATCCAAATATGATACCAGTCCAGTCATATATATTAACTATATTTACATCATACTGCTTTAAAATCTTTGCGATTACTTTAACACCGTTCTAGCCAATTACAACAAAAATCAAGGAAAATTAAAACATTTAAACTTGATGGATAAGGTCATATATAAGCAAAAGGTCAAGTTCAATCTAGTTTACTTTCAGGTCTTGTTCAAAGGGTTGTTGTGACCGAGTATGAAGACAAAGCATTAAGAATTAAGTTTGCAGACAGCAACAGTCACAGCAACAAGACACCATAACTAAGGGATACAGACTGACCAATTACTTTTTGGTAACTTCTTGGGCCCCTTACATGTACCTTCAAAATCTAGGGGCCCAGCCAAAAAAAGTTTGGAGCCCAACTAAACAATATTTCTTTGTCATTCTTTCTTTTCAAATAACAATACTTTTATTCATTAATCAATGTATCCTTTAAGAAATTGTTTTTGTAATAGCTGAAACTATGCAACATATTAAGTTTCATTGGCACTGCTATATTTTTTCTCGACTTTGACGTTTGGGCAAATATTGGTCTGGATCCCTGCAAACCATAGCAAAAGCTCAATTTTTTTCTGAAAAGCTAAAGTCTAAGTAGCTATATTTTTTGAAAGGATAAAATTTTCAATTTCAATTGAATTTAACATGCATGGTACATAGCAAAGGCTATATATAGGGACAGCTTTCTGATATAAGTCAGATGCTAAGTCATTGTACTAGTGAAAAAGTGCACAGGGCATTTAGGGGGAAAATACTAGCATTTTTAGGGGAAAATATTCTTATTTTGGGCTGGGGGAAACAGCCTTTATTCGGCTGTAAAATGTAGGAAAAAAAATCACTGACTGAGAAGTCGGTTAAATAATCGTTCATTTTTCTGTTTTAAAGGTGTCATTCGGTATTTCATGCACAGTTTCTACTTTCACTCGGACAACTCAACGATTATTATTAATCTGAAAAGTTGCCATTGTTCGTTATCAGAATTCGCCTCCTATTATTGTTGAGTTACATTGAAAATGGCGGCGCCCAACTAGAACTAGAAAAAAATTTCATTGGTAGGTATAGAATTCTATATATTCTTTACTTGGTTTTTATTTGATTTTCTTTTACATATGCACGTGTAGTCTATAGCTAGGCAAGCCAAAGCCTGTGCCCGCTTCGCGGTCCCGTCCTTTGACTTCCCCATCCATTGGCATTGGGCCGAAAATACTCGGGGCTAAATAACCACAAATCTCAGGTGCAAGACATCATAGGTGTTTGGCGCGTTGATTGGTCACTACCCCCCTGGCCAGCCCCCACCCCATCAACTCTACAGCCCTCCTACCTCTCAAAAACATGTTTCAAATGAAAAATACTACTTTTTACATGGTTTTGAGAGGTAGGAGGGTTGTAGAGTGGGTGGGTTTTGAGAGGTAGGAGGGTTGTAGAGTGGATGAAGGGGGGGGGGGGGTAGTGACCAATGAACGTGCCGAACACCTATGCATGGCATGGCATTGCCTCAATAAAATTGTTAAGAATCTTGGTGGACATTTCCTATTTGGAATCTGGAAACTGAACAAACCTTATTAATGCGACTGTTTTCATATTTCAGGCGGTCTACGTGCAATCCAAAACCAAAATTGGACAGATAATTTCTCATGCCTAATACGCGCGCTCAAGTGAAGCCGGAACTGGAAATAACTATCAGACATGCGCAAAAAAGATACGTCCACACGTCACGAGCGAATTCCATGTCATTAGATGCTTATTCAATTGAGAACAAATTTACGCAAGCGTTTGTTGAGTAAGACTTAAATATTGTTGTTTACATATATTTGTTCATACATTAAATTCCACGCCTATACATCTAGTAAAGAGTTATCTTTTTATATTTCATAAAAATTGTGCTAATTTCGGTCGTAGTAGAAGTAAGTAACCAAAATTGTCTTCAATTTATCTATTTTTTTCTGTCAGTGAACATATATCCGGATAGAGCTATTTTGGCCGTTGGTCAGTGTAGTTCTTCCCATGGATCATTAATCAAAGGTTCCCGGGTCTATTCACAAAAGACATCCAATGTCTTTTGTGAATAGACCCGGGGCCCTTTGATTAATGAAATATAGTGCGCGAATGCCATAATTTGTGAATATAGACCTCTTTTATTAAGTTTTAAAGTATTAAGCTGTTTAATAGGGAATGAATTTAATATGAAATTAGGCAGTGTTGCATCCATTTTTTATGAAGATCGCGTATTTTAATGAAGTCAGTGCGCGCCAAGTCGCGCATCTAACTATCTTTTCAACTTAATTCAGTTTATCTTCATCGTATCTTAAACGCTTCAGCCATGTTTGTTTTCACTCGTGGTTATGACTAAAATTCGTACTAAATCGCGTGTAGCAGCCGACTAAGTCATCTCGGGTGTGTTTTGTAGTATTCGTCAATATTTTATTTTTTCTACTTCCGTTTTTGAGCGGACGATAGCTGTCAAAAATGCCTGAATGTAAAATAAATGAATTCTATTCGGTATGTCATATTGTAACTGTAAGGTAAATGTATGCCCCCCAAATTTTTTTCAAATCCCCAACATTTTTCGATTGAGTGGGGGACAATCCCCCATAATTTTGAAATTCTAGATGCAACACTGATTAGGCAAAGCCTATGAAAGGGGAAGTCAATTATTAATTTTTCCGTTTTAAAGGTGTATTCAAAATTAATGCCTGTTCCTTTTTCACTCTGAATACCACGATTTTTTATCAAAAAGTTGCGTTGTCGTTAAAATATCCCGCTTTATATTAAATACGATTAATTACAGGGACGGCCCTCCAGTTAACCCTAATAATTTTAAAATATCTTGTTGCCCCTGAAAAAAGGTACATGACGAAAATTTTAGGCGCTAAGCGTAAATCCCATTCGAAAGGGAACACTTACAAATACATATAGTTTTTCTTTTTATACCCGTTTTTGGAAAATTTAAAAATTTTATTTTAAGGAAAAAATATTTTTTAATTAAATTTAAAATTTATTTTTAAAGGTAAAATTTTTTGTCCCAACGACGTTTAAATTCAATTGACAAAACCCAGGGAATTTTTCATTTTTAAAAAAAAGGGGTATTTGTAATTATTATTATGGTAACATAATAAATTCAATTTCAAAATAAAATGAAGTCGATGTACAAAATATTGCCGAGATTTTGATATTGCCATATTCATAGAATATTTAAATTTCCTTCATCATTGATAAATATTATTTTTTGTAAATCTGTTTTCAAACGTCGGTGCAGTGAAGTAGACAGTTATAAAAGTACTCTTGTGTGGCTGTCTCGATTCCGGGCTTTTTAATGTCACTCGTATATTTTAATTATTCTTTTCATTTGAATGCATGTAGAAAGATATTTCTGATATTTTTTAATGTAACGCTAGAAAAACAATAAAAATCTTTACAGTTTGAGTCAGAATCATTGCAAAATAAAAGTAACTTTTGAATATTTTTTACACATCGTTTAAATTTCTTTTGAAGATTAATTACTTTTGAAGGGGGTTAATTACCAGGTAACAAGTGATAATTGAAAACTTTATTTTCAAACTTTCATTACCAGGTTACATGTGATAATTGCAACACTCAGTCTACTAAAAACAAATAGAATTTTGAATGTATATTTGTATGTGCACAGTCTTTAATTACAGTCCATGGTATGTGTGATAAGAAAATGATTCTTAAGAGGATATATATAAATACAATGTAAATCTATTTTCTTTATTAACAATTATAAATGAAATATAAAATATACAACTAAATTTGTATAAGCCCTTTCTTTGAAAATAATAAAGATAAACATATGACAAAATAAATCATTTGACGTGAATTGTATAGGCTAACTATGAAAAAAATCTGTTTCAAAATAAACACTTTTTTTTATAAAACAGCTGTTCTGTATGCCAATAAAAATTTCTTCCTTGCCAATCTAATGAATTCATCTATATATGAACGCTTATCTAGAATGATCTGAAAATATATTTAATACACTAATTAGTAGAAAACTTACTATATTTATACAGTTAATAAAATAAAAAATGTACAAATCATTTGGAAATAATTCACAGAAATAAAAACAAATTTCAAACATGAATTTCTTTAAAAGTTTTTAAGCAATCAAGAATTATTTTTTTTGCATTGCACCCATTAAACCATGTACAAAAGAATTATCTTAATATGAATCGCGGTAATAATTTGTGCTTGAAGTAGAAGGGCGTCAAAGTGTAGAGAGTATGCCTAAACAATAGGCGAATATTTTTTAATTAGGTACTTTTTTAACTTAGCGTTGCATCGTTCTATCGGCATATTTTCATATATTAATACTTTAGTGGCACACAATAATACTGTATCAATACATTCATATGTGTATAATTTTTCACAAAGCTGCAATAACACCACATACTCTTGTGAAAATCTGTCATATTTCGCATTCCGCGCGTTCCGCCATCTCTCATTCTGTCCACCTTTATCCGATGTGCGATTCCGCGCATGCGCGCGACGAGACTTTAAGGTAAACGAAAGTGTCCGATCCTTGTAATATAAATCCGTGTTGAATTACATTGAAAATGGCGCCGCCCGACTAGAACTGACACTGACAATTTCATTGATGGGTATAGAATTCTATGTTTTCTTTAATTGTTTTTTATTTGATTTTCTTTTAAATATACACATGTAGTCTATAGCTGGGCAAGCCAAAGCCCGGGCCCGCTTCGCGGACCCGGCCTTTGACTTCCCCGTAATAATTTATTTTAGTTGAATGTATGCTATTTGAGTTTTTCACATCAGAATCTAGGCCTATAAATATGACTTCGCTTTGAGATATTTTTGCTTCTGGGCAAAGCAACGTTGTAAAGGATTTCGGACAACAACCATCGAGTAGGCCCTATGCGCTTCTATATCTTTTATTTTCATACATCAGCATATAACAAAGGGATTCGCTGAAACAAATAAAATACATGTAGGTAGGTTTTTTGTGTACTGGTTAAACTGTACATCTCTTAAAAAACTCCTATATTATTAAAGTATGATGATCATGTAGATATTCAAATTGAATATTCAGAATATTTGATAATCAAGAAGGGCAGAAACAAAATTGAAATGTAGGGTATAGAACTCCATCAGGTACTGCATCCTAGCCCATTCTGGTGTAATAAGAAAATGTGTTCCTTTACACACTGAACGCCACCAATCAACTGTTTCCGCCATTAAAGTGAAAGTGGAAGTGTTGCTTTTTGAATTTGGATAGAATTATTTTAAAAAAATTAAGAAAATGTTAGAAATATTTTCATTTCAAATAAATTTCTGTCATTGAAAGGAGAATCCAAAGCTACCTGTATGTGTTGCAAATACTTCTTTATTTTACCCCATATTTACTTCATATTCTGACAAGTGAAGACAGCCGTCTGCTAAACTGTAGTGACATGCTGAAACTGATGTGAAGTCATATTCTGGTGAAAAAATTCTACTGAAGCCAAAAAGGGACATCAATTTACATACCACAGTATCATAGTGCTCTCTGTTTAAGCTCCCATTCAAAACATGGCTGACTGACCATACAATGTAGATGTTTCTAATTTATTGATATTGCCATATTAATTCATTGATTTATTCTATGAGTGACCTGTGTATTTTAAAGTCAAGATGCAACAGTTTAACACAATTTAATAAAATAGTTAATACAAATTCTTTTTATTTGTACCATTTGTTGAAAATAATAAGAACAATGGTACCATAGTTGACCATCCTATCTGAATTTTACAGCCCTGCTATACAATAACAGAACTTTTATCAGAAATTTTAAAGTTACCGGCAATGGCAGCATTCATAATCATATAGAATTTTTCTTCTCTTTTTAAGGTTGGAGTAACATAAAAGATGGCTTGGCTCTCGGGCCTAACTGGAAAAGCAGAAAATTTCCTTAATAGCCTGGACCAAACTGCTGCCAAAGTGCTTCATGAAAATGAAGAAGAAGGACACTCACCAAATCTATCAAGAAAATCAGTCAAAACTGAACAAGCAGTGCCTCAGTCGTCTGGCTGGGCCCCTTTCATAAGTCCAGAAAAATCACTACCATCCCAAAGTGCTACAAAATCATTTGACAATAAGTTAAGAGAGTTACCACAAGATGCAAGTTTAAGTACAAAGCCAAAATCAGAATCAGTTACCACAAAGAAAAAAACTGATAAAGATGAAGCATTGTTTGAGTTTTTGAATAGCCCAGAACCAACTGAGAGAAGAAAAATCACACCCGCCAATAGCACAAGGCATTCCCGACAATCTAGTGCCTCCTCAGTCATTTCAAATAAAGGCGGGAAAAATGACACACCTGGATCATCATCTGGTAGTGGGTCATCAATGGTGCATGTAGAAATGCCGGGTAAGTTTACTTTTGTTTTCTTATATTATTTACATCTATTGAAATGTCAGGTATATGCTAAGTAATTTTAGCCAGTTCTCATTTGCATTGGGAAGAGCAATTCTAGATTTCAAAATTGTTTCCCGATGAAGAAGTTTTTTTTCTTGTTTGGTTTATTCATTTATGAAACATGAACAGTAATAGTTTTAAAGGAGCAAGTTTACTTACTCAATACTGATTTGCTTACAGTCTCCAATTTATGAACGATAAACATATTTTTCTTATAAATATTTTAGTGAGTATTTCTTGTAGCTAGTTCTTGTGCTATTTTATTGTTGTAAGTTTTATGTTTGTAAATTTGTCACTCAAGCTTTTAATTTAAGATTCATAATTACTAAGAAATGAGGTATAAAAATATGGAAAAATACGAGAAAAAGATGGACATTAGTGTTTCAGTACACACTAACACCAGAAAATACAAAAATGTAGTACTACATTCAAGTGTACATAGCCTCGAGTGAAAAACAGCTAGACGGGTTCATGAGTGAAATATAATTTAATCTTGAATTTTAAACAGTTTTTATGCCCCCATTACTTTGGAGGGGATGGGGGAGTATATAGATTTGTCCTTGTCCGTCTGGCCTGCTTTCATGCAGCCCATCCATTGACTGTCAAAAACAGTGGAATGTATGAGGCATCAGTGTCCTATAAACTCATTTCTAGTTTTATGTACATGTATGTATTTAATGAGTTTTCATGGTTTTAATTCATTTTTACCACTTTCTAACATCATGTGCTTCTTGGTGTTAACATTTTGTAACATCTCAGTTTTTGTATTCAATGATTTTCCTAAAAGATTTTATTATGCCCCCGAAGGGAGGCATAATATAATCGCACTGTCTGTCTGTCCATCTGTCCCACTTCATTCGTGTTCGTACTGTAACTTTGTCATACAGTGAGGGATTTTGAAATAACTTGGCACAAATGTCTACCACATCAAGACGATGTGTCGCGTTGAAGAACCCCGTCCCTACCTCAAAGGTCAAGTACACACTATCATTTTGAAGTTTCACATTATCACAATTAGAGTAAATAGGAACACACATTTGTGTCCAGGCTGTAACTTTGTCATGCATCGACTGATTTTAAAATAACTAGGCATAAATGTCTACAACATCAAGACGATGTGTCGCGTCCAATAATCACGTCCCTACCTCAAAGGTCAAGGTCACACTACCATTTTGAAGTTCACTTTATCACAATTAGAGTTTATAGGTACACACATTGGTGTCCAGGCTGTAACTTTGTCATGCATCAAAGGATTTTAAAATAACTAGGCATAAATGTCTACCACATCAAGTCAACATGTTGCGACAAAGACCCATGTCCCTACCTTCAAGGTCAAGGTCACACTTATAATTTGAAGGTACTCATTCTCTCAAGAAGAGTTTAAAGATACATGTATTCATGTCCGAACTGTAACTTTGTCATGCATGTAAGGATTTTAAAATAACTTGGCACAAATGTCTACCACATCAAGACAATGTGTCGCGGCTAAGGCTCATGTCTGTCTGTCTGTGTCCCTACTTACACAACAATCATGTCCAGACTGTAACTATATCATGCATTGAGGGATTTTGAAATAATTTGGCACAAAATGTCTATCTCATAACAACATTTTGTCGCGTCCAGGAACCACGTCCCTTCTTCAAAGGTCAAGGTCACACTTATATTTTGAAGGTTCATGCTATCACAATTAGAGGTTACAGGTACAATAATACAAAGAACAATATTCAGCAATTAGTTACTTTCATTCTCTTTTCTTTTCATAATACCTGCATGCTTAAGAAACCTTTTTGGGGGCAATCATCACTTGGGTGACAACTCTTGTTAATTTTAACATAGACCCCCAAAGTTTTTTCCATTGTTTGATATAAACTTATGCATTTTTACTACAAAGAAAGTGTATTTCTGCTGAAAGAACTTGAAATTCATAAATTTTATGATATATGTTTAATTGTTTATTACACTAATAAGACTTGGTTCTGCTGTAGTGAAATCATATTTTGATATGTCCACAGTATTAATAATCTGTTGGTAAAACATGTTACAAAATGATACAATGTTTGCATGTAGAGGTAAATGTAGGGATTTGCTGAAACATTACTAATAATATCAGAGGCCAATATTATACCTATTGAATCGTGACCTTTAAAGATGACAGATCAAAGCTTTTACTCCATAAAACCATGACTGTACAGTGTGAATGTTTAACATTTACACAAACTTAATTGATTGTCAAATGTTGAAAATGCAGAAATAAGAAGGAAAGATTTGATATTCTATATATAAGTGTATATTTATGTATATAATAGATATAGAAGATAAACTAGAAGAACAAACTACTAACATGCAAACTGTCTGTAGTAAGTTTACAATTTTTTGTACCCTTCTTTTGTCATCTAACTTGCTATTAAATGTTACATTCTACAAGAGATGAAAAATTTTAATAAATACTCTGTTTCTTTTTTCTCAACATTTTTAATATCCAAATAAATGTTTTACTTTTAAATGAGTGAATTAATTCCTTTCTAGTATCCATAAAATTGGCCATGCATCCATAATGCAGAGTTGTGAAAATAACACAGAAATTGTTGTAAAACATATAGTTTGTCTGTTTACTTAGCATGTTGCCAGATTTAGCCGCGTTGCTGTTGCACAATTCCTGTATTAGTTTCACATTCTTGCATTTAAGGATATACATATCATGGATTGATTAATTTAATAGATCTACATGTATTTAAAGATTGTTTAAAGATTTTTTTTTTAAAAAGTCAAAATATTACAGAGAGCTTTCTCAAGTTCTTGATTTATGCAACTTTTTTTCTTTAACATACAGAAGGGTTAAGTTGTAAATTTGTTTGTTTTTGCACTTTTACATGTATACTCCCCTCTCCCCCCTCCCCCCCCCCCCCCCCCCAACTACAAGTGAGGTGAAAGTTTTTTATCATAGCAGTTTGTATGTTTGTATATCCAAAGACATGATCGTTTCCATATGATACCTGTAGAATGGTTACATGTGGCCAATAGATTTCTCGAAATTCAATAATTTTAGCCAAGGTCTTTTTGTGCAATAATTTAGAAACGCACTTGTTTTAAAATACTTTCTTGCTGTTTGCCACCTTCCCATAAATTAGCTGAACCATTCTTATATAACTGCCAGTGCTATCATATTTACCTATGTGCTTATGACTATGTTGGTGTCAGCATATCAGTGCAATTTTATATCTTATAACTATTGCCGATAACAGTATAAGGCCAATAAATCTAGCATGAATTTGTCTGACATAATTAATGCATTTTGTGAATTTAAGATATTCCTGAAAAATGTTTTCATCAGTTTGCACAACTGCTTATTAATAAGTTTTTCATTTGAAACTTTGCATAAATTGTTTTCAGACTTTTTCGGAGTCATAATTGTAACTGATAGGTTAACTCTAGTATGGATTTGGACTGACTTAAAGCTCTTTGTGTATATAGCAAATTCCTTGTTACTGTTAAGCAAACAAACTGTTTAGGGTATTCTTTTGAAATTTCATGCTTGTCTTGAAGGACAAAACAATAGTTGTAGGTCTTTATATCCAACATTTGGATTGAATCATACTCAAAGTGACATTCATATTTGTGACCATTGGTTGAGGTTTTGAAGCATGATTAACCTTCACAAGCACTGAAGGTATTCACCTAAAACCTCATCTTTTAAATTGGACTGTACTGAAAAATTATTCAATATTATTGCCAAGAACCTAATGTATTTCTTTTTTTTGCTAAATGGAAAACTGTATTTATTGTTATGTGTCAAGATATAAATTATAATACATGTATGCTGAAGAAAGTATATATTGTAAAATTATATGCTGAAAATATAATGTGTTGTAAACTTACTGGCTGAAAAATAAGAATATCTTGTAAGATTTATAGGCTGAAAAAAGAATCTTTTGTGAAATTATTATTTGTTATATATATTCTTTGAATTGGTATATACCTATATTGGTATTGAATATGTCAAATTAAAATTGAATCATTTTATTTGATTTGTCTAAAACTAACATTGACACTTTATAATATAATATGATATAATATAGTGTAATATAATAATAATATAGGTACAGGTAATGATAGCAGAGGAAGTCCCACTGATATGGACATGGCTGCTCTAGAAGATGCCATGCAAGACCAGTCACCTAGCAACAGTGTCCATAGCAACCAGGATATAGAATCCAGGGATAATCCTATGACATCATCATCACTAGATCTGGAGAATAGACTTCTCAAGAATGAGATATCATCATTAAATCAAGAAATGACATCTCTTGTACAGAGAGCAAAGGACTCAGAATCAGGTTACATAACTCTTACATTATTTGATGATCAGTTAAAATATACCAAAACAACACATATTTCTTTAATCTTTACTAGTTTCGACTGTTGTCTTCAACATTTGATGATATAAAAGAAAGATAACTTTTCTTTTGTGTTTTAAGTCATGCTGGCAAATGTTACTGTCAAGAAGTTACTTTGCTACTTATATGCTCCTTTCAGTATTTATATATATTTCTGATAGTTTTGGGTATTTGAGTATAACAAATAAATTCTTTAAACCATGTTGGTTAAGTGAAATGAGCAAATATCTGAGCAAATGTGGTAAAAAAATGAAACACTCTTCTAGTTTTTAATGAAGATTAATTAGATTAGGAAAGATTATTGCACATTGTACATAAATAAATTGATTTTGATGGTTGGCCAGCATCAGAATAAATACTTAATTCTAGTTGAGTTTAAAGAAAAATTAGCATTTCTGATATCATTCTAAGAGACATTTTAAATGTAAGATCTGTTTGAAAAATACTGCAGTTTTGTTCATGTGGAGGGAAATTATAGAGCAACATAAGGAATTAATTGTTTATGTGACATGCCTTTCATTTTATGTATATTTTTCCGCCAATATTTCTTTGAGAACATATTTACCACAGCTGACTTTCAACAAGAATTAATCAATGAATGATTTAACCAGTGCAAGCTGTTTACCTGTCTTTTACCTGACACATCTATGAAAAAAATTAATGTTGTTTACATTAAAAAGAATAAAGAAACAGATAACCTGTGAAAAGTCTTTGTTAAATCAGCAAAAGTCATTTTATATGAACAAAAATGAGAAAATGATCTTCTTCTACCATTATTTTCAGATTTGGCCAAGTTACGTGAGAAATTAAAGGATCAGTCTAGAAATGTATCAAAGTCTGACCAGTCAGTGAGGGAGTTACAGAATAGGGAACAGGATTTGTTGGAGGCCATAGGGGCCAAGGATTCTCAACTAGGGGTGTTGAGAATCAGGCTAGAAGAGGCTGATAGGGAGCTACAGAACAGACAGAAACACCTGGAGAGTTTAAAATCGGACAAAGAAAGGTATTGAAGATTTGTGTTCTTTGGGGTGTTATAAGTGATATTTAGAGGATATTAATTCATATATATGTCATTTATTGCTTTGTTGTCAAGTTTAGAAAGTTTTTTTCAGTGTTCTTTATTGAAGCAGAGATTACTGCTTTGTTAAACGAATGTTGACTAAAACCTGGGCAGACCATGTGGACAGTTCGTTTAACAGTAGTTTGATATTGCATCTACATTTTGTAGTTCTCTGATATGTTTTCATATTGGTTACATTTTTACAAGGAAATTTTTAAATAATATGTAACCTCCTGGGGGTTAGACAGACAGAAAAGGTTTCAAAAAAATAAAACAAAACATAAATGTTTAATAAATTTGTTTGGCAAAACTTGAAGCGTACCTGGCAGATGTATGTGAATGCTTTTTGTTGATAATTTTTTTCCAGGAAATTTCATAGTGTATTAGTATCTATTCAATTATTGTATTAAACACAATACAACATTTAAAGTGTTGTAAATATCATGTAGATATTATAAAATGCATTTATTGACTTTTTATCATTTATCTATGGTATATTAGTTTAAAATGTTCTACTCAGGTGCCCATTCATGCCTGAAATAATACATGGAGGGGTCCTGTGGTCTTCCTCCACCAGTAAAGCTGGAAAGTCACGGTATGACCTATACCGTGTTGGTGCAACATTAAACCCAACTAAAAAGAAAATTAATAATAATTTGAAAAGTAACCATTTTTACCAGGATTACCTTGAATTTTTTTTAAAGAAAAAGTGTTTTGCTCTGCATCAGCCAGCAGCTTTTATCTGAAATATTTTATTTTAACATTTTTTTGTTGATATATGTACAGAATATTGCGGGATCATACAGATTCCAGTGGTATACATGGTCAAGCTTTAGATTCATTAAGACAAAAACTATCAGAGGTAGAGGCTACATTAGAGAGAGAACAAGAAGCTAACAAAATATCAAGGGTAAAAAGTTTGAATTTTGGTTATATTTGATTTTTTTTAACAGTATCTACTGCATACTGTAACTCCTAAATTGATACTGTTCAGACCTGAATCAAATGAGCACTGGTAGGTATGACTAAATAAGTCATTACTAAGTATTTGGCTTTGGAAAGGAAGATTCCTATGCTTATATTTTTTGCCATGAAAGAGTAAGAACTTTTATTGCTTTATTTGAGATTGGTGTGTGTTATCAATTTTCATAAATATAGTGCCTGATCATAGAAAATAATGAAATTGTTCTTCTTTCCACACTAGAAGTAAGCAAATCCATTGGTATGTTATTGACACTAGATAAAAATTTTTATCAGAGTGCTTTTAAGATTTTAGTATCATTGTTAAATGACTGATAGAGATATTAATGTGTGTTCCAGCAAGAGGCGGCAGACAGACAGACAAGAATGGAGGAGGAGCAGAGAAGTTTTACAGAAGCTCTTGCTTCAGCTGAGAAAAAATATAGTGATGAAAAAGGCTGGTGTTAAAATTACTTAGCTATTTCATATTAACAGTATATTTGAATTTCAAAAATACAGGATTTTTTATATTGTTTTGTTGTAGACATCTCATGGTTTATCTTTTCCATTCTAAAAATCAGTCTCAAGAAGGATTTAAACTGTAATAACCAGCATTCAGGCCCACTCAGAATCATATATGAGTCATTTAGTTATATTGAATCTGTGACAAAGATACTTGTATGTTAAAAAGTGATATTTGTGAGGAAAAGGTGATTTATTAAGACATATAGATAGATCTGAATGCTTGTTTATATGATACAATTATATTTCAGCCAGGGTAACAGAATTAAACAACCAACTGAAATCTATGAGAAATAGCTTAGAGTCTGCTAAACAGGAACTCTCAGAGTATAAAGAAAAAGCAACAAGGATATTACAGGTGATAAAATGAAAAAAATATATATATGTTTTTATCTATAAGTTCATGATTATCATATGTAATTGGTTAAAACTGCAAATTTATTCAAGAGAGAAATCATGATTTTGTTCTGTCTAAAAATTTTATTATTCCTTAAGTAGAAGAAAGTTAGATTTAGGCATGAATTTACCTCATGAATTTGTATAATGAACTTGTCCTGCTATGATTTTGGAATAGTCCATTACTTGTTTAGGGATAACAGTATTACAGTACTTAGATTCTCCAGCCAGCAAAAACATGAATAGTATTTAATAATTGGTGACTTAGTCATTTTTACCTCTTACATTCTGATTCACATGTAACAAAATGAATTTAATTGGTTTTGAAAATATCATCGTAAAAAGTATATTTTGTACTAAATTGGAAACTATAGTAATGTTTGTAGCTCAGTTTCTTTAAGATACTTCAACAGTTGTCATGTCATGTCCATGTATATAAGAAAATAATAAACATATTTAAAATGAGAGAGTTCTATATATTAAAATTTTCAAAGTCCTCTTTAATGTTTATACAGTTAAACAATTTTTTCTGAATTGTTCTGAAAAGAAATGAAAGTGATTGTACAATTTTGATTGATGTGTTAACTTCCTACCTTTGCCTGAGCTTGATAATTGTAATTTTAGTCTAAGGAACGATTGATTGCCAGTTTACGTGAGGGATCAGGAGCATCGGGCGAGGCAGCTGGTGTGTCAAGTCTGGAGTATGACACAGTAAAACAGGAGAGAGACATGTTTAAGGAGGAAATACAACAAGCTAGAATGACTGTAGAGAATCTCAAAGTGGAACTAGCTGTAAATATCTTGTCTATTTTTATTGTACTCTCAAATTTGTTAGGTATCCTATAATATTTACCAGCATCCCATGTTATAAATGTGAATGGTTTGATAGCTGTTTTTATGTTAGATCATGAAAATGAATTAGAACCAAGCATTCCTTCAGGAGACATTTTTTCAAATCATTGTTACAAAAATATAGCTTGACCGAAAAAGTAAATAATTTTGTAATGAAGTGAAACTCAAAATATGTTTTTAGCATTTTTATGACATATGAGGTTTTAACTCAGCTTATTTGAACTGTTTGAGTGTTCAGAAATGGTTGTTTAATTTTTGTTTTAACTAATTCAGGATGTTGAGTCGCAGATGCAGCAGGAGAATGATACGGCCCAGGATACAATACGATCATTGGAGGACAATATAGGTGAGGAAAAACAGAGGAGGGAAGACTCTGAGCAGGAGTTACTTAAACAGAAACGGGTAGGTATTAGATTATATTGTTCTACATAAGACATTCAATTCTATATGATTAAATCCTGCAAGAAAGTTTAATTGCATATTTGAATATTGAAACATAATGGATGGAGTATAAAATTGTCAATGAATTACAAATGCACACCAGTCTTATTTGAAAGCATGGTTCTATGTATTCAAGAAATTAATTTTGATTAGCTCAACTTTGAGCTCAGTTCAAGAAGAGGTCTATTTCACAAAACAAAAAATTTGACTACCTGGCTGAACAGAGATTTCTAGAATTTTTGGAATGCTAATACTTGTTAATTACTGAAGCATTTTAATTAGATTTCATTTATTTATAAATGTATAACTGTACATACTTGGTATTTCCATATTTGATTGTGTTATTTATAGATTGTGTTAGATATAGATTGTGTTGTTTAAAGATATGTTATTTTTGATGACTACAGGAGCTGCAATATGCCATTGAGGAATTACATAAACAAAAGACATCATTCCAGAGTCGAATGAAAGACAGGGAATCTGAAATAGAGCGACTGAGAAATCAGGTAATGACAGTATTAAAACATCACTAGGGTTAAACCAGAATGTATAGGCTATCATAAAGGCTACCACAGGAATTAGAAATGTAATCTTTTGAAAGCTTATCTCGTGATACACCTCATATGGTTCTGTAAATAATGAGCATCATATGTACATTACATATATATCTAATGATTTGACTGTCTTTTGAGACAACATTTGCAAATTTAAATATCTTTTTTTAAGGTTTTATTTTTTTTAAAAACCACCATTGAATAGCTGTTTGACAGAAACAACCTGTCTGAATTGTAATTTTGAAATACTACATGCATGTGACAGGTATATGAAAATTGTTGTATCCAGTATAGTTTAAATATTTGTGGTTCTACAGAGGTTAACATCTTCAGTGATCTTGAGCAATGTGATTATTCCTAGCATTTTTGTAGTTATATGTATTCAATCAATTATACAACAAGGAACCAGTTATATCTGTTTTATGAGCATTTTTAATTGAAAATTTTTATGATAGAACAATTTATAAAATTGAGACTAGACATATAACAGTATACTGAGGTAATACAGTAAACTCTACTTATAAAAATATCGCTTGTTATAGAACTGTAAACGTTGCTACAGTCCTGACTCTTGTTTCCCAATTGGTTGCCTCTCGGATATAACAATATAAATTTGGAGGTCCCCTGAATTTCATTATTTTAATCAATATAAAGTACACATACAAATTTTCAACAGTTGGCTACAAAGTCCATGAGTTCAACATCAGAATCTGAGCTGGAATCTCGAGTGAGAGAATTAACAGAAAGTTTGATACAGAAACAGACCATGGTGGAGGCATTAAGCACAGAGAAAAACTCACTAGGATTACAGCTAGAGAGACTTGGGGTATGTTTGCTGTTTAACTCTTTTGAATGATGGTCTGGTCATGCTTGTAATTGCTTGATTTATACAATCAAATATCAAAATGCAGCACATTAGAAATGAACACTTAGGAATAGCTATCCAAAATACCAAAGCATCAAAGAACACCAAAGGGCTGTCTCCTTAATTTTATAATTGGTTTTATAGTTTCATTTCCATATAACTGACTGTTGTTTAGTCTGAGTTTTTGTTTTGTTTTTGAAATAGTTCTTGATAAAAAGAAACTTGATCTGATATAAAGAAAAATGGATAGGACATACAGATATAGGTAGAACATTGTTTTAGAGATAGTGTAAACTAATATTCTGATGTATTTAATGAAATGTTATTATAGGTGATTTGCAGAAACAAAATAACAATATCAATGTTTATTGTTGTTTATTTCAGCAACAGTATAAGGATATTCAGGCTTCAGCTGTAAGGACCAACACCACTGTGATACCTGTACATGATGATGATGAAGGTAGAAAATGCACGTATTTAAAACAGTTTTTGTAAAACATATATTATTGATAATTTCTATGTTGTTCAAGTTGTTGTTTTATATTTTAAATTTGAAAGACAAATCATTTTCAATTCCATTAAACTTTTTTCTTTAATAGTGAGGATGTAATGTAAATCAGCATTACAAAAATGAAATATTATAAATCATTACTTTACAGTTACCTGCATGGTTCATTGACATTCATATCCCAAAATTGACTTCTATGTTTCCAAGTTCAAAATGTAAAAAAAATATTCCCTAATACCATGACATTGTTATAAATGTTAAGCCTCTGCTTACTCTTTTTTTGAGAATTTATTTTTTCATTACATATTCATTAGTCATGTTCCAAGGGAATGTATTTTGTGTTTGCCATTTTGTGTTCAGATTTAATATTATGAATTAAAAGTACATTTTCACTCTTAAAACTTGGGGACAATTCTAGTACAAGTGTTGGTATATAATAGAGATTTGATGTTGTTTTCAGTACGGCAAAGATTGCCACAATTTATGAGAGAGGTACCCACTGATACTGAGGTGACACGAAAAATGAAGAGAGCTGTGAATTCCATTGATAAATTCAGGTAACTTATTCTCTTTTATCATAAAATTGTTTAAATGTAAATTTACCAGTAAAATGACCTGTTTAAAAGAATAAGATAATGAAGAAATTGTGGAAGTTATTTATATTTTCTTTTAAGATTCATGTTAAAATTATTACAGAAGAGATAAATACATTTCTTGTAAAGTTAAATATAGAAAGACTGGATAAATTTTATTTTATTTAAAGAAAGTATTCAATTAATTAATTTTTAAGTGATTTATTTTAGTAATTCTTGACTATGTTTTAGTATAAAGATATAATGTTTCTTCTGTATAAGATGGTCAGAAATGTTGATTTTGAATTACTTAATTATCACAGCTATGTCTCATCAGCTGTCTTGTACCTGAAATAATGGGGCCTATTGTAACGTTTTAAGGCACAAAAACCCTGTCAATGATTAGCTAGCTCACCACCAAGAGTGGTTTGTGTCCTAAAATATGGGGAACATATATAGGAAACATTCCCTTATGTTAATTCAACAACTTAAGTTTTTGCATATTATTATGCTTATTATCAGTATTATTACGTTCTACCAACATTGTTACAATATTAGTCTTCCTCCACCAATAAACCTTAAAAATGTCATGTAACCTTTACAATATTGGTGTGACTAAGAATCTAATCATGGAACTTTGTATGAGGATGTTTTAATCAAGTTTTTCGAGGTAAAAACTGTAAAAATTACCTATTTTAAAATGATTCATGTCACTCTATCTTTGAATATGCTTCATCTGATTGTTTACAAATACAATTTTATTTTTTGGATTGATACATATTGTCTATCTTTCAGTATACGTCTGGGTGTATTCTTCAGGAGATATCCTATTGCGAGAGTTTTTGTGATCGTTTATATGGTAATAGTCTTTTTTTCTTACATCTCTTTTAAAATCTTATTTGAAAACATTTGTCACCTTAATAAATAAGCAAGCTTCTTAAGTGCATTTCAAGTTATTGACATGTAAAAAATAGCTTGGCACCATAAATTTCACTTTAATTTTTAATAATAATCTTTTGTTACGACCTCAGAGGTTTTAAGTTTTTCATGTCTTTTTGTTGTTGTTTTTTCATTCTGTTTTTTTAATGTTTACTTAATAATATCAAGGGCCTTGTGTTATTTTCATCAATCATGAAAGCTTAGAATTCACCAAAGTCAGCTGTACTTTTCACTGTCAGTCTGCAAAATTTTACAGTATAAGTTTTACAAATAATGGCATATTGGTGATTTCAGTTCAAAAAATGTGTTAATATATCATATTGGTTAATCTTTTCACAACTGACTTGTAGTAATTTGAGTTATAATTTTTAGGTATTTTAAAAAATCATCAGATTTCTAAGAAAACAAATATTATAATTGCAGGCCTTATTACACCTATGGGTGATGATTGTACTGCTAACATATCAACCAGAGATCCACGGAGCTGGAGCAGACGCCATAAAATTACCCGAAGCTCCTGACAAGTGATGGAAATGTTATACAAACACATGTACATACAGACCTCTGCATACATATATAATATAAATGTTCCGTGCAATGACAAAACCAACATAGTGCGTTTGCGACCAGCATTGATCCAGACCAGCCTGCGCATCCGCACAGTCTGATCAGGATCCATGCTGTTCGCTATCAGTTTCTCTACTTGTTATAGGGTTTGTAAGCGAACACCATGGATCTTGATCAGACTGAGCGGATGGGCAGGCTGGTCTGGATCCATGCTGGTCGCATACACACTATGTTGGTTTTGTCATGTTGCGGTTCAAATATGTGGGACATTGCTTATTATTGCACATACCTGTAAATATTAAAGCAGTCCTGTAGTTGAAAGAGTGTGTAAAATTAACATGAAAAAGTGATATCTAACAATGTGATGATATTGAAAATATCTTACTGTATATAAAACATAAATTAATTTATGCATATTACTGTGTTATTTATAGAAATGAAAAATTATGTTTAAGGAAATATAACCATAGCTTTTGGTTCAAGTAGAGTATATATAATACATACATCACATATGCATATACATTACAATAATATATAAAACAGTTGGATATTTCACCATTATTTAGGAATGATATTTGGTGATGAATAGTGAAGGGGCAAACCATTGTGTCCTTGAGCAAGAAACATTACACTAATCACTTAGTGTTGCTTGGTTCAGGCTTATAGCTTCCTTTATAAACTAAAATAATTCTGTATGAATTAAAGCAGAATAACAAAGCATTATATGGAAAAAAATTTGTGAAAGGAAAAGTAAAGTTTAGTATGACATATGGCTAAAAGTAAATGCAGTACTACTGAGCATTATAAAGTCTTACACAAGTATGCATGCCATTGTTTACAAGGTTCAGGTTTATTTGAAGCGTAAGAATAAAGTGTTTTTTTGTATATTTGAAGTAATGGTCAACCTTTTTCATTATGGATTAAGAGTTAATTCAAAATTATTTTGAAAGGTGGTTACTTGTCATGCAAAAAGAATTAGAATTTTAAGACGTTTTTGTCAATTACTGACAGTGTTTTTGGTGATTTTTAATAAGAAATTCTGTTAAATTTAAGATTTCCATATAGCATAAGGTGTATTTTCATGATAGATTATGTTTAAACTTGCATTATTTTAAAGGTCTTTATAATCATGTATGTATGTTATATTTAAAATTGGGGCACAATGTTCATTTTTACTATGCATCACCTTTAAGCACACTATATTATAAAGAGTGAAAGATTATAGCAGTCTATTTTTTGTCTTAAAAAACCTCATTTTGAGGTGCTAATTATTTCTCAGAAACTAGCCCTTGTACATCAATCAGCTCCTGTATTTAATATCTGCTTAAAACACATGTCCATTCTTAAATAGTAATACATGTAATGTCTGAAACACATGAGATTAAATAAGGTTGTATAAACTTTGTATTTTTAAATGTATTGTTTAATTGAATGGTAAATACTTGTGTCCTATCACTTATTTACTGGTGAAAGTTATTCTACATTTGTCATGTGTGCTTGCTATCACAAACATCTGTAACTTTTTCACTTTACATAGGTATGAGACCAGTATAGATCATTTTATATGTGAGCCGCATCACGACAAAACCAACATAGTGCGTTTGTGACCAGCATGGATCCAGACCAGCCTGCGCATCCGCACAGTCTGATCAGGATCGATGCTGTTCGCTTACAAACTCTATAACAAGTAGAGAAACTGATAGCGAACAGCATGGATTGTGATCAGACTGCACGGATGCGCAGGCTGGTCTGGATCCATGCTGGTCGCAAACGCATTATGTTTGTTTTGTCATGGCGCGGCTCAATTATGTATTATACAGAAATATTTCTTCACAGTTTGAGAATTTATCTTACATCCAATCTCAACATCTAGATTGGTATGATTTTGTTTCAGATTTTGAATTGATCAATCAAATGTCTTACAAACACACTTGTTTCCAAATTACTCACCTCCACCTGGACATGTACAGTGTTTAATTTTTTATGCATTATAAATTATGTATTGTTTGTATATAAATATATATTAAAGATTGCTGGCAATATAAAGAAGTTGCTAGAACAAATGCAGTTACTGTTGAAATATTTTTTTACTCAAGAATCTTGTTGAAATGTAGATATAAATACAAGTTATGAACTATTTCAATGTCAGGAATTCTTCATTTGTTGTGGTAAATGTTACAATTTTCTTCCCAAACAGAAATGATATTTAAATTTGGTTTGTGAGAATTGAAAATGTGTAAATATATGTATGAATGATGTCTTACAAACATTGTTTTAAGTGGTATAAAAGTTTCCTCCCAGTTCAAGACATGGCTAATATGATTTCCATTAATCATATGCCATCAAAGCAGTGATTCAGTTGAATATAAAGAAAAATAAACTATAAATATAAACAATACTTACCATAGCAGAGACTTATTGAAAATAATAAAATTCTGCAATCATAAATATCAGTAAAATTAAATATGTTGGGTTTAGAATTTTAGTTTGAGACTTTAATTCAAAAACAATTGTCAAATTAGGTGATTCGTGCTGCATTTTTGTTGTTTGATGGTGTTTATTTAAAGAGAACTTTTCTGAGGAAACAGGATTATTCATTTGTTAGCATTTTAGAGTAAACAAAATGCTCTGTTTGTTGTAATTACAAATGTGCCATGAAGACTGGAAGTTAAGATGATATATATCATCAAGGTTCGTCAAAAATTGGAATAACAATTCTCTGTGGACATTGCTACAGATGTATTAATACAGCAATTTTGTTGTTCATTCAGTTTTAATTAGATTTTTGTTCATTTAGTTTTAAGTAGAAATAAGAACTTATAATTGAAGTTTATAAATTGCACTTGTTACAAAAAACAAAATATTAGTGAAAAGAATAAATTTCATGGAACACATACTCAATATGTAGCCATCTGTTATCATTTTGATTTAGAACATTTTTTTTGTTGAAACTGCTTGTGTGAGATTTTCAACTTCATTGATTAATGTTCTTGGAAAAATAGCAAGGTTAACCATTAATGTTAAACATAAATCATGTGATATAAGAAACTTTATATCTTTATCAGAAAAAAATATTCTTGTATGGAATAACTCTTAAAGATATGCTCCATAATTTCATCCTTCAAATAATAACAAAAATCTGTCGGTATTTATATCCGTTTTCTAGAACTTATTGATCTGTGAAGAAATTTAATTTTCGTTTATATGTTTGTTTTTATAAAGATAACCTAATACCCAAGATTTATTTGTTCATTTTGCCAGAGAAATGCTCTTCTGTCATTTCCATGCAAAGTGATTTGCATTTAAAATTGTGTATGATTGCCAATTATATCATAAATATATTTTGCAAAACGGTATGCATGTGTAAGAAAGGTACATTAATTACTTGGTTTTGTCAAATGTCCTTCCAATAGGAATGAAAAAACACACTTATGTATATACATGCCTATATATATATTGTTATTTATGTAAATATTGCTTGTTACAGATGAAACCTGGTTTATTTAATATATAAATAAAAAGAAGGGAGATAATATTTTTCAGTTTTCTTGTTCCTTCCTCTTGGTATGACTAAAACATTATAGCAATGATACAAGGCTAAATGATTACGGTCCCCTACGAAGAAGAGAGGACAAATTACCTTGCAGCATGATGTTGGTTGGCCATCCGATCTGTCGGTGAGTCCCACAATGTTACTGATCAATAACTTAAGAATGCATGAGCCCATTACACTAAAACTTCAAAGGTGTGTTGGTCTTGGGAAGATGATGACCCCTATGTATTTTGTGATCAAGGGTTTAAAGGTCATGGTCACATTGACCTTGTATGTTGGAAGAACTCGACGACCCATAAGGCCTTGGCCCTCAAGCATCACAGGTGCTTTTGGTCTAGGCCAGTAGGTGACCCTTATAGAATTTTGGGTTACAGTGTTGAAGTCCAGTCACATTGACCTTGTATGTCAAAATGATTTCTGACCAATAAGTTAAAAACCAGTGGGCCCTTGGCTCTCAAACATCACAGGCGCTTTTGGTCTAGGACAGTTGATGACCCCTATTGATTTTGGAGTCGCAGTGTCAAATTTTAAGGTCACATTGACCTTGTGTGTCAAAATGGTTTCTGACAAGTAAGGTAAAAAACAACGGGCTCTTGACCTTCAACTTTCATAGAAGCATTTGTCTTGGGACACTAGATAATCCCTTATGATTTTTGGGTCAATGGCTCTTTGGTCAAGGTCTCATTGCCCTTGTATCTCAGCAATATTACATTAAACTCCTGCATGCTGACAAGGAGGACATGTATGTTCTACAAACATCTGTTTTATCCTGTGTTGTAGGATGTTTCAATTTTCTTATGTGGGAGATAACTTGAAATGTACAGGATTGGCAAGTTATCTGAAAGATAATTATACCCCAAAAAACAAAGTTTGGGGGGGGGGGGGTATATAGGAGTCACCAGGTGGTCGGTCGGTCCAGACATCCGTCCGGAGCATAACTTGAAGACTGATGGTTGGAATTCAATATAACTTCATACAATTGTCAAACACAATAAGGGGAAGTGCAGTGCACAAGAACCATAACTCTATCTTAAGTAATTACAGAGTTATTGCCCTTTGTTACTTTTCCATTGCTTTCTTTTGTCCAGACCATAACTTGAAGACTAATTGTTGGAATTCAATATAACTACATACAATGGTCAAGCACATTGAGAGGAAGTGCAGTGCACAAGAACCATAACTCTATCTTGACAAATTACAGAGTTATTGCCCTTTGTTACTTTTCCTTGTCCCGGGCATAACTTGAAAAGTACTGGTTGGAATTCAAAAAAACTTCCTACAATTGTCAAACACAATAAGGGGAAGTGCAGTGCACAAGAACCATAACTCTATCTAAAGTAATTACAGAGTTATTGCCCTTTGCTACTTTTCCATTTCTTTCTTTTGTCTGGACCATAACTTGAAGACTTATTGTTGGAATTCATTATAACTTCATACAATGGTCAAGGACATTAAAAGGAAGTGCAGTGCACAAGAACCATAACTCCATCTTGACTTATTACAGAGTTATTGCCTTTGTACTTTTCCTTGTCCAGAGCATAACTTGAAAACTACTGTTTGGAATTCAATACAACTTCATACAGTTGTCAAGGACATTAAAAGGAAGTGCAGTGCACAAGAGCCATAACTTCATTTTGACAAAATACTGTTACTGAGTTACTGCCTTTGATACTTTTCCTTGTCCGGAGCATAACTTAAAACATACTGGTTGGAATTCATAACAACTTCATACAATGGTCAAGCACAATAAGAGGAAGTGCAGTGCACAAGAACTATAACTCCATCTTCAGTATTTATAGAGTTATTGCCCTTTGTTCCTTTTCCTTGTCTTTCTGGACTTATTACAGAGTAATTCAATAAAACTTCATCAATGGCCAACCACATTGAAAGGAAATGCAACATACAAGAACCACAACTATCTTTAATTGCCCACAACCATAACTCTATATTTCAATTCTTTTACAAGGTATTCTGTTACTAGTAACATCCTCATTTCCGAAGCAGTCTTGTGGGGGTATCAATCACATTTAGTGATAGTTCTAGTTTAATTAAGAAATATAATAAAGCAGTATTATGAATATAGTAGCTTTATTCACTAAAGGTTACAGATTGTATACAATCAACATTACATGCATGTATTAACACAAGTCAATTGTAACACATATCTGTCTATATCTAGTTAAAGTTCTGAATTTTCAGTACATTTAACTCACATATGTACATGTATAAATACTTAATGCGTGTACCATGTTCAAACAATGCTAACGACACAAAGTAGACACAACGAATATGGGTATGACAAAAAAAGGAGCTTCTTTATATTGAAATATCATTTTTAACATACCTGTACTTTCAATTGTAATTGTTGTCTTTTGTAGATATATATAACATTTCTGATCATATGTACTTTATATTTTCATCTCACATCAATGTTGAACTTTACAATAGTCGTATATTGAAGAGTACACAGGTAAAATGTAAATGACCTAGTACTAATAATTTTCCATTGCAATTCAACAGTATTTATGGACAATTAATGATCTAACCTCAACTTGTAGACAGAAAAACATGACAGTCGTAAGAAATAATTTGACAAAAAATATGCATAAGTTTTGAATCAAAATTAATAAAACAACTGATTTTATTCAAGAACCAAACACTAAGAACAAAAATAAGCTACCCCGTTAACTAACCAATTCCTTGTGAGTGCGCGCGTTTGTATGCGCGTGTGTGTGCTTTCGATCGTTGAATTTTTTCTCAATCACCAACTTAAGTTCAAATTGTGATGAATAACATGGATGCTTATTGGTCGTACTGTTATTGATGAAAATCTAGGAAAAAAACTTTGCCAGATTGTTAGTCCTTTGATCTAAGAACCAAAGAACAACAAAAAAAAACACTATACAACATTGAACAAATATATGTTTTTGATATTATGTCCTGTAGAAACATTACACATTATAAAGCTATGCAAGTATATAGTAGATGTAAAAAAATCGTGTATATGTCTTTCATCTTGAAGGTGTCCATGTATGTTACTTTTGTTTAATTATACAACTTTTGCGGAACACATCCCTTTGAGAGACCAAGATTTAATTGTTCCAGAATGGTGTTACTCAAGTCGGGTTAGATTTCTGGTGACAATGGCCAAGGTGTCTGAGGTATACGGTTTGCGAGGAAATTACACTCGCCATATATTTCACCATGACAGATGTATCCTTCATTTCTCATAATTTCACCTTTTAAAATTGGAAGTTTAAACGACTTTTGATGACTGTAAAACGTTGTTTCCAAATTCTGACAATAATCCCCTTTTCCTTCTATTCCATTGAACAAAACGACGTTTCCAACAAGCTTGACCTCAAAGTGCTGTAAGTCAGGTTTACATACACTTACAGTCATCATAAATTGATTACAATCCATTTCAAACCTCAATTGTAAAGATATTTCATTTATATTAATGGAACAATTGTGAATTATGTCATATTCATATATTGTCTCTGGCTTCATCTTTATGTACTCACTTGTCCCCTCCCAACCTTCAAAATTACAAAGTTCCAATCTTTCTTCCTTTTGAAGTTTTGCATGATAGTATTTGTACAAAGTAATCATTTTCCTCTGTTCACAAAGTAACTTTTTAACTTTCTCATCTTTTTCCAGCAGTTTTGTTTCCATCTCACTAATAATATTCCTTTGGATTTCCATAAGAGGTATTGGATTCCCTTTGTTCGCTTCTTCAAGTTCAGCTAGAGACTTGTTAACTGCCAGTTTCATACATTTTTCTGATAAAGTTTTCAAAAAATAGAGACATGCCAAGTTGTATAATTTAAAAATCTTCTCTACGGACGTTATTTCATTGACGGCTATAAGAAAACAATCTTCACATTTAGATTTAAGATCAACCACCTGGTACTCCTCTGCCAAACCGATTATTTGGAATGCATTGTCAATGGTAACCTCTTTCCTTACAGTTGGATATATACATTTTAGAAACTCCTCCATGTCTGCTGATAGTTTTCCAGGTAATTCCATTTCACTTTGATCTTTTTCTTTAAAATCTGCCTGGAACATTCTTTCAAATACGGGTGAGGTAAAAGCCAAAATATTTTTCGCCACATAAAATCTTTTGCCTTCAACAATGAAACAGAAATCCTCCTTCCATGTTTTGACTGTAAAATCGTGTTCTGATCGTCTACTTTCATCTCCTAAATCTGCCATTATTATTTTTATTTACTAGATAAAAGAAGATTCTGACGGTGTATAAGGTATATATTATTGTTTATACAGAGAACGTTTATACAGAGAAGAATTTAGTGAAAGATATTACTCAAACAGTTACATGATCAAACGCAAACCTTTGGTGGAAACCAAATGACTTTATCAAGTTATTTAAAAAATGTCGCCGTTTTAGTACAGACAAAACATGTCTAAGACAGTACTTATAATGATGTACGCAAATTTTGAATGTAATTGCTGAGTATTTAGTGTACAATTAGCCGCCTTTTTGAAGCTACTGTTCATATAAGAGATTTGTTTTCTTTCATGACTCACAATGACCTTCGTTAGATTGACATTAATGGTTGCCTTGTTTGATGATCATCATAATTCCATTTAAATGTAAATTGATTCCTCGTGCAGTTTAAGATGAATACAATATTGTTGAGGGACTAGTCCAAAATCATTAATTTTTATTTATAGCACACGTATTCCGCTTATTCCTCTGGTGATAATTATTATACAGCATTCTAACGTATAAAGTAAATATCCATCACCAGTTTACTGTGTATGACATAAATATCAATATTTTTGACACTGTTGACAATTCAGTATTACAGTCAAATATACACATGCTATCATTTTACAATGAATGATTTAAATAGCAATGATTTGTATTTCACAAATATAACAAAATAAGATTTCCTGTCATATCAAAACCAAACTTCACAACTATTGAGATCTGAATTGCAAAGAACAAAATAATC